CACACACACACACACACACACACACACACACACACACACACACACACACACACGCACACACACAGACACACACACTACCTCATCACCCATACACACACCATTAAACACTCGTATGAGGAGAGCAAAATGGGTGGATGAACACACACAGGCCCCGAAGAGGTTTAGCACAAGTGTGTGAATGCTGAGTGATGATGTCACCAAAAACAGAAGCCTACCATTACAGCAAATCATAGCAATTCCCTTCCAGCATGTCAAATATGCCCCCTAGTGGCTGTGAGCTGTATATAGGGTTTCCAGATATTCAAAATGCAAAGAAAAAGAAAGTTTAAACAAATTCAAATTATATCTAGTAGTAGAACATTCGCCTAGATTGTGGGCAGGCGTCATGTGTTTAGTTGCCACTCAGGGATGATGTGAATGGGAGAGCCAATGGTTGTCTGATTCTCTCTGTGCCATCTGACTGAGTAGTGACTAGTCCAAGGTGTCGTCTGCCTTTTGCCTAAAGTCACAGAATAGTTCTCCACTCGCCCACAACACTGAACGGGATAAGCAGTCCAGAAAATGGATCACACCAAACTGCCTTTTGAAGTGAGAGATTATGATGTCATTAAAAGGGAGACACATTTTACAAACGATCAAATAAACTGCACGGTTATTGATGCCTGCCCGAGTATACTTTATTGTGAATTTGTTGTTGCAAGTACTCTACGACGTAGAGTACGATGCAATACGAGCAATGAATATGTGCTACTGCAAAGCTTTTACGAGGGAATTTGTGTGAATCTGGCAAAACTGTACAAAACACTAAATGTTTCACATCTGGCAAAAGTATGTGCATTTCTGCCACTAAATATGACATTTCTGCTTGAGTACTGACTAGAACTGGGGGTAGCAATCGTGTTTCTCGGTGTGCATTTGTATGAATTCCGAAATACGCATGTCGGTTATTGTAGAATGTCTTCAGTGTGACAGAATTCCAAATTCTGATGATTCCCATCCTTAGAGAAGACCCTTCAAATGGCTACTGCTGAAGTACTGATGAGAACTTGGCTATCAAGTCATCTGGAGCATACCGCCGCTTACTTTGGTCAGAAGAAGCAGAGTACACCCATTTCGACAAACAATGGGCTCATCAGCAGCCAATGGCAGGGCAATTCGAGATAAAAATTGGACAAGTCCCCAGTAAATATCAGGCCACACATGGACACAAAATTGGACTGATCACCAGTAAATGTCAAGGTGCATATGAATGACCGATTCCTAATTCATACCGATTGAAAATTTTGAGTTTTTACTAAACTAAGCGAAGAGGCTAAATGCTCATCAATATTCAGAGGCTTGTTGCTCATTAAGATGCTAAAGTCTTCTCCATATTCATCAGCCACTTGCTCAGCTTAGAAGATTAATGTTCCTCTATACTGGGGGCTGAGGGGGGCTATTTGCTAAATTAAGGTGTTAAAGGCTCCTCTATGTTCAGGACTTGCTAATTAAGGCGCTAAATGTTCTGTTATGTTCGGGGGCTAGTTGCTTATTAAGATGCTTAAGGTTTCTCTATTGGACAAACAACTGACTGGTTGCCAGTGGGTGGGAAAGCGGGCGGTGGTGGTGGGGCGTGAAGGGAGTGAAAAAAGACGCACGTATAGTTAAACAAGCATTCACATTTAAAGCTATGAACAGTTGAAGGTCTTCACTAAAGCTCATCTGATAACATGTTTTTGGAAGCAAGCTGGAACCAGTAAGGAGCTGAGATTCAAACCAGCAACCTTTTGACTGGAAAGCAGGCTTGGAAAGGCTGACTCAGTCTTGGCCAGACCCAAACCACAGTGTCCATATTTCAGAGTAGACTGCTGACTCATGGATATCTTGGATCATCCCCGTTATTTTATTATCTTCGCATAAACCTTCAATTATATAAGTATATATATATATATATATATATATATATATATATATATATATATATATATATATATATAGATATGGTCTTTAGGTTTATGCAAAGATAATAAAATATGTGTGTGTCTGTGTGTGTTGGGGAGGGGGGAGGTCTGATTACTATGACAACAGCCTCCTCATGAGTGAGGACTGATGGGTCACGTGGTCACAGGGTGTGAGCCAGCAGAACCAGCAGCATTCCTCAGCGGAGGCCCGGGCCCAAAATAACGTCTGCTGACTTTTAAGGTTTGAACATTGAAGCCTGTAATCATTCCACCGCGTCTCCCCCTGTCATTTTCTTCACTTGATGTTTTCATCTTTTTTCCACTTTCACACACACGCGCACACAGACACACACTCACGAGGAGGCAGGCTGAGAGGGGAAGAAGGAGGGACGAAGACAAAAATGATGGCCAGGAAAAAAGAACCACAGATGAGGAATGTTTGCTTCTGTGGTTGGAAGCAGCAGGAAATGACATCGCGACAAGGACCGTTACTTCCTTTGCAACATGGACACCTCTCAAGACCGCCTCCAACTCGTGACGGAGCAGCAGGGACGGAGGCTGTGCAACGGTGATGATGAGGTTGTTGCCATGGTTACCTATGAGCTTCACTTTGACCTGAATGTTTAAAATATACAACAACAAGGAGGGGAAACTTGAAAGGGGAGCTGCTCTGTTGCCTAGCAACAAGCTCTGCTTTCTAAATCACATCATCACGTGAAATCGAATCACTCATCGCTCGTTTTGTCAGTCTCACTTCTGCTTCTCTCTACATTTTTGTCTATGTGACAGCTTGCTAAGCTAAGACGCTAATTGTGTACCGGTGAGGACAGGATACATGCTAACCCAGTGGTTCTTAACTTGGGTTCAATCGAACCCTAGGGGTTCGGTGAATCAATCTCAGGGGTTCGGCGGAGCCTCTGCCATGGAGGTTAAGACACACCCGACACAACATGTCAATTAGTTATGACGCTCGGCCATCACTGGCTGATTCATTCACATTACATTGCTTGTCCAATCAGTGCTGTGGGAAATTTAGTTCGCTCAGTACTCCAAGTGTGACTGTCGTGATAGTACATCATGCACAGTTCATTTTGTGCACAATTAAAAACAACTTACATTTATGTCTTGAAATTGTATTTACTTGTTTTCAGTTTTTAATAAATGTTTTTTATGTGTTGAATTTATCAAAAATTCATATTTTAATTTTCACTAATGAAGAGCTGATTACGATTGGACTCATCTACAGCTACCTGCCAATTTACCACAACTGACAGAGTGTGGTGAGAGATGTGTGCAGCTCCCAATATGTCAGTACTATGGATATTTGCGAACAGAAAACTAGCATAGTAGGAATTAAGAGGATTAGTGCTTGCTTTTCTCTTAACCTTGTAACCATAGGCATTCCGGTTTAAGTGCTATTTCATTTGATGCTGTGGTTATAGTTTCAAAAGTATGTAACTATTACATCTTGGTGTTTTATTTACTAGCTGCTAGCTGCTAATTAAGATGCTAAATACTGCTCATCAGCAACTTGCTATGCTAAGAAGGCAGTGATGCTAAATGTACTAGTACTGTATGTCAGTGGCTAGTTGCTAAACTAAGCTAAGAAGATGTATGTTCCTCAATTCTCAGTGACCGGTTGCGAAACTAAGGTACTAAACGCTCCTCTATGATCAGGAGGGAACTGCAAATTAAGACGCTGAAGGCTGCTCCATATTTATCAGCTATTTGCTAAACTATGAAAGAGGAATTTTCCTCTATGTTCTGGGGCTAGCTGCCAAGCTTAAACACTCAAGCTTCCTCAATATTCAGGGAGTGGTAGCTAAAATATGACACTTGTTCATGTTATGTGCAGTGTCTCCTTAATAAACTATTTTAAACTAATATTAATGTTACTCTATGTTCCAAGGCTAGTTGCTAAAATGAGAGATTAAATGCTCCTCCAAATTCATGTTCATCTTTCAGACAAGATTTAGAACATTAATTTTATTTTAGACAACGATAAACATACATGATACACATTCCAAATTTGACTAGTTGTGCCTCATGGACGACTTTCAGGTCCAGCCAGCAGGTGGCGTTCTGGGTCCTCTTGGCTTCTGTACCCGGTAATTAAATTCTAAAACAGAACCCAAATGAAATGCAGACATACCATGAATGAATTGTCAATTGAAATGTTAACTTTACAAGCCAACATGCCACTTCACCATATATCATATCTTTAGCATAATATTTTGTTTCCTAGTTCATGCTCCACCTTTTTCTTTGCTCAACAACTGTGCCTTTCCTTCTTTGTGTTCTTCTTGCCTCACTCACTCGTTGGGTTTTTCTTTCCTTAGTTATATTTTCTCACTTTATTTCTTTCTTTCACTAAATTGCATTCCTTGCTCATTTGTCAGTCACCCCTTTCCTTGTCTTCCTCAGCTCTTTGCTTGTTTACTTGTCACCTCTTCATTTTCATTTTGTTCTTCTGTCCTTGTGCACGTTGCCCTCCTTCCTCCCTTATGTTCTTTCCACCCTTCACTTATTACCTAATTCCACACTCACTTTTCGCCTATTTTCTCAGTCACCGATCACCCATTTCCTCGCTCACTTGTCACATCTTCCCTAGCTAGCTCGAAAAACAGGAAGAATATCCACTGACCGAGGCCGTCACGCACACTCGTGTCGTTCATATCAGTCACCGAGATGGACAAGTCTTCGTAATCGTTGGGTGTGCCTGGAAGGAGCGTGTAATAATTTGTAATAACAATAACAACAATAACAACAACAACAACCGCAACAATAATAATAATAATAACAATAATAATAATAAAAATAGCGGCTCGGTAGTCCAGTGGTTAGCGTGTCGACCTCACATTGCAGAGGTACCGCGTTCTATTCCAGCTCTGGTCTCCCAGTGTGGTGTTTGCATGTTCTCCACGGGCCTGTGTGGGTTTTCTCCGGGTACTCTGGTTTCCTCGCACATTCCAAAAACATGCATGGCAGGCTAATTGATAATTCTAAATTGTCCCACAGTGTGAGTGTGAGCGAGGATGATTGTTTGTCTGTGTGTGCCCTGCGATTGGCTGGCAACCGGTTCAGGGTGTCCCCCGCTTACTGCCCGAAGACGGCTGGGATAGGCTCCAGCTACCCCACCCCCACCCCCACCCTGGCGGCCCTTGTGAGGATACGCGTATCATAAAATGGATGGATTGATAATAATAATTTATACAATTCTCTGAATATTTAGCATCTTGGGATATTTTTAATTAGTTGAGAACTCTAGTAGTGAAAGCACAAAAGGGTGGAATAAGGATAAATAAACAATGTTGTTCTTTACTTTGCCTTCAAACAATCATAATGACTTTGATTTGCGAAGCTCATTTCAAGGGAATCAAGGACACTTGATGAAAATGACACTTTGCTAACCGTGTTCCCGGGTGGGTTGCTCCTTACCTGACACCTGCTCCACACCAGCGCTAACCACTAATCCCGCTAATCCCGCCGTGCGGTTGGCAGTGCGATTCAAACTCACAGCGCCCTCCGGAGCTCCGACCACGCTGTACAACGGCGCTGTTGTCGTCAGTGGGTTGTTGTCATAGTGATGGGAGCTGTGAAATGTTCTTGGGAACGTCCAAAAAAGGAAACGAGAAAAGAGGTAAAGAGTAAATGAGGGAAGATGAAAATAAGGAGAGGAGGACAGAGGTGACCAGTGAACAAGGAATGCCGTCACAATTAAACAGGGAACATACGACACAAGGACAAAAGAAAGAGGTGACAAGTGAAGAAGGTGATGAGGGAAGAAAGAATGAGGCGATGAGTGAACATGGAAAGAAGAATGTTACACAGCAAGGAAAGAAAAAAAAATAAAGACAAATGTGGCATTTAGAACAAAGAATGACAGAGGGGACTTGTGAAAAATGGAAAAGGTGACAAGTACATGAAAAAAACTTTAAAAGAAATGAAAGCGATGATATGTGAACAAGGAAAGAAGAACTTAAGGACGGAAATGATGAGAAGTAATCAAGCCAAGAAAACAGAAGGAAAGCAGTGACAAGGGACAAGGAAAGAAGAACATAAGAAAAGAAGAAAGCAAGGAAGCAAAGAAGGAAGGAAGGACATGAGGAAGGAAGGAAAGCGGTGACAAGTGAACTAAGCACTTCAGGACTGAAGGAAAGAGGTAACGTGAACAAGAAAAGCGGTGACAAGTGGACAAGGAAAGAAGAACATCAGGAAGGAAGACAGAAAGGGAATAAAAAGGAAGGAAGGAAAGCAAAAGGAAAGGAGAGAGGAAGGAAAGAGACGGCAAGTAAACAAGGAAAGAGGAGGATTACGGAATATGAAGCGACGCATGCGTACCTGTTTTCATGTGGTGGTTGCGATTTCGGCTTGTTGACGACGGCGTACGTCACCTCACTCATGTTGTCATTTCTGTTGCAACTCTGTAGTGAGACGACAGGTCACCAATGCGAGAGGGAATCGAGTTAGATTGCAACCTTTGTTAATCTTCCCTTTTCACCTCTTTGTTTCATCCTCATGTTCTTTCCATTTTCACATTTTGTTTCCTCCCTGTTTTTCTCATTTTACTTCTCACCCCTCTCAATGCTCACTTGTGACCCGTTTCCTTCTGTCCTTGTTTGCTTCTTGCCTTTCCGCGTTCACTTTCCCTGTTCGTTTCCTTGCCCGCTTTCTTCTTCCTTTTTCGACGCTGACACACTACAGAGTGTGTTCGTATCACCTTCACGTCACACACAAACAAAGCAACGCACAAGTCAAGAAAAAATACACCAACCTGTGAGTTGATTTCGTCCTCTATGCTTGTCGTTCTTAATGATTAAAAAGTCGAGCCAAACAGGAGCTTGACTTCTCTCCGACAGTCTGATTTGCATACAGGAAGTTTCACTTCCTCTTTTCTGGGCCGTGTAGCCATGTACATTTTGCCATCACGCCTGTCAACCAATCAGGACAAGCCAAGCAAACGTTGCATTTCATGCAGCCCTTGTTATGTGATGGCCAGAGAACAGCTGGTGTATCGAATAACTGTGGTAACCGGCACGCATAAGTGGCTGTTAGAGCACTGGAGCACATAACTGCTCATTTAATCATTAACATTCACCGGCCCGACCTTACATACACACATGCACGCACACACACACACACACACACACACACACACACACACACACACTGTGGGTAATATAAAGGAAGACATTTGTGTGATCCGTAATGGTCGATGAGAGTGTAGGGGTCCACTCGCCTGGCTTGTGTGGGGGCAGGGTGGGATCGGTTACCACTTAGGGACGGTGTGGATGTGGGTGCGAATTTTTGTTCGTCTCCATACGCGCTCTGCGATTGGCTGGCGACCAGTTTAGGGTGGAGTCCACCTCCTGCCCGAAGTCAGCTGGGATAGGCTCCAGCACAGCCCGCGACCCTGTTCAGGAATAGACGGTGTTGAAAATGGATAGATGGATGATTTGTAATCTGCTCACAGCAGCAAGTGGCGGTTATGCTCGTGTTGCGCTAATTTTGTAGTCGTGTTATGGAACTGTTGTAGTGCGGTTGTGGTTGTAGTTGTGGGCTGGGCTGTCGCTTGTAAAGTGCTTTTTTTTAAACTTTGGTACTCAAAGCGCTTCATTCTGTTACCGCATTTACTTACTGATGACGTGGCATCGGGAGCAATTAGGACTTTAGTGTCTTGCTCAAGGACACTTCGGGGCGGCTGTGCATTGAACCCGCAATGATTGGGTTAGGCGACAACCACTCTACGACTGAGCTGATCTTAGGGTACTGTTGTGGTAGTGTGTTAATGTGATACATGATACAGTAGTATTGTGGTAGTACTGCATTCCTGGGTTATCACTACTGCTGTGGTGCTGTTGGCGTAGTGTTTCCAGACTACTGTTGTAGTAATGTTGCAGCACTGTTGTGGTAGTGTTCCGCGACTGTTGTAGTAGTGCTGTGGTACGAATACTATTGTGCTACTGTTGCACAAATAGTGTAGTACCAGGCAGGGTTCCCATATCAGTTTGCTTCAGATGAAAGTGAGTGGACGCCAAAAGTGAATAGTTTACTAAAGTGAGGACAAGTCACTCAAAAGCAGTAAAATGTGGAGGGCAGTGGTCATTCTTGTTTGTGTATACTGCCGAGTCCCGAGTATGTGCACAGTATGACGTCATGCGTTTATTGTCGCCAATTACACATCGGTGAGCGCTCCCTTCGTGCTGTGCGATAATAAACGGGGCTGTCTTCTTACAGAAAATGGCCAAATATGTGATTGTTTCGAAGTGAAGGAGAAATTTTGAAACCCCCCCCCCCAATTACGTCACATAAGTTGGCAGGTGAATGCCGGGCTCGGGAAGAAGCGACCGAGCGAGAGCTCTGTCTCCTGGTCGCCCCCTCATCCCATCTCTGCTGCTAGCTCGTCGGTTTCCCCTTAGCTTTAGCTTAGCCTAGCGACCTGCTAGCCGTCAGCATCATGTCGCAGGCGCTTTCAGAGGAGGAGTTTCACCGTATGCAGGTAAGAACCACACGACGGCACGCCCGTGTCACGCCGCGCCGATTTGCAGCCGACGCTGTCCCAAAGCCGCCGGGTGAATGTTTTGGATGCTAACTAACGTTAGCCCCCTAGGGGTGGCACGGCGCCTATGTAGTTATCTTAGGCTAGTAACCCCGTGACACACAAAAAGGGGCATTCATGTTCTTGTCATTATTGTGATCCATATAGTGCGACAGAGTTCAACAAGGTGGCGTGCACGGTGAACACTGCCCTCTCTGCTAGCCATGTCAGCATCAGCAAACATCCGCATGACGAAGGCACTCAACCTCAAACGTTTTATTATTAGAAGGCAGTCACATATTACATGCAGTTTCATGCAGTGTCACTGATCAACGGAAGTGTTGAAATGATTTCAAGTTGTGTATTTAAAAACGAATTGTACACTAGCGCTACAAAGTAGCTCGATGCTAATCACATGACTTGGCCTGACGTGTTCGTTTGTGTCGCACAGGCTCAGCTACTGGAGTTGAGGACACACAACTATCAGCTGTCCGATGAGCTGAGGAAGAACTCCGCTGGTAAACAAAGCTGCTTTTCTTTTGTGCATGTGACATCATGATGATGATGATGATGAAGAAATATGCGCGTGCTGTGTGTTTCAGAGCTGACCAACTTGCGTCAGAAAAATGTGGTGTTGGAAAGAGATTTTGTCAAAGCACAGAAAGTAACTCTATTTATTATTATTATTATTATCATTATTATTAATAATATTATTGTCAGTTTAGTTTCATTTTTTGTGCTTTTCTGTCCGTAGGCTTTGAATAAGAGCAAAAAAGCCCAGGTAAGTGGTGCGCTCGATTGTTACCATGGTTACCAGTGCCCCCTCTAGTGGTTAACGTCCGACACTACCATATCAGAATGAACCTCTGATTTTCGAGTAATTGATGCCCACACAAAAAGTTTTGTAATTGCTTACAGATGCGACAAGATCGCAGCAAAGCACATTCTTTTTTTTCAATTAGCCATGACTTTGGCCTGAGCACAAACCGGCAAGTAGGGAACTGTTACAACGATTAAGGGAGGATAGGTTGGGAAAAAAATCAACGATGCACAAATGCGAGTTTGTGGGTGTTCACGACATAATAGGTACACAACAATAGCGACGCTACTACAACAGTCACGCATTACCAGTGTCAGTCAACATTAGTCCCACAGTGTCACAACCTTACTACAGCAGTAGCACAACACTACTGCAAGAGTAAAATATAATAGCACGATATAATCGTGGTAGCACAGCAATACGTCACCTCTACTACAAAAGTACAGTAGCATAAAGCTACCAAAGTAGTGCAGTGGTAGCACGACACTACTGCAACAGTAGCCAAACAGTCCCATACCACTACGACACTTGCAACACTAAAATAGCAGTAACACAACACGAGCACGTATCATTAAACGACTAATACATTGAGTCACACTCCAGTGCTAGAAAACTAACATTACACTACAACATGACAGTCGCACAAGACTACTGGAATCGTAGCGCAAGACTTCTGTAGCGACCACAACTTTACGACAGTAAAACAACTCCATTACAACAGTAGCATAACAGTACAGCAACGCTACTACAACATTAGCACAACACGAATAGAATGGTAAGACGAATGCCCCCTTCTGACTACACGAATGTAGCCCGGTTTTGAGCCGAGAGTCACGTCGCAGGCGAACGTAGCGTCTTGTAGCTGATTTTGAGATGTCTTGAGGCATCGTAGCCCATTGTAGTGTGACATGCTCAATGACGTGAGAGGCATCTGGGACAACAGAAGCATAACACACCAATGTCACAAAAGGACGACAACAGTAACACAACCACTTGCATGGTGTCACAGAAGTTCCACAACAGTAGTGCAGTACCGCTAAAACAATTCGACAACAATAGCATATACATTATGATACCAGTAGCTCTACACCACTAGAACAATCGCACAACATTTCACTGGCCAATTAATTAAGGAGGCATGAAGTCAAAGTATTTCATCCGCAGGAAGTTGAAGCGCTACTGAGCGAGAATGAGATGCTTCAGGGGAAACTTCACAGTCAGGAAGAAGACTTTCGACTGCAGAACAGCACGCTCATGGCCGAACTTTCCAAGGTACCGCCCGTGTTGACTTCAAATGGATGATTGTGATCGGGTCTAGATTTCCCGCTCCTGTTGTCTCCGTCATTTCCAGTTGTGTATGCAAATCGAGCAGCTGGAACAGGAAAACCGGCATCTCAAGGCAGAGGGCGGGGACGCAGATTCCCGGCCGAGCCCCAGCGCCACGTCCAGTCCTGCTGATGAAGCGCTGCTGCGCCTCCAGGCTGAGAACGCCACGCTGCTGAAGAAAGTGCGAGGTTTGTTTCTTGGGTCGCCTTTACGCGCAGAGGACAAGGGTCTTGTCTTCAAAAGGGGACATCTTGTAGAAATGTATTGGGTACAAAGTCAACAGTGGTTGATCATCTAGCCCTGTTGAAATCAGGGTTATGATAGTAGGAGAATTTTCATGTGTTCAGACCGGGCCACTTTATTGACCCGTCTGACAGGTTGCTATAGCAGGCGTCGTTCAACGCGTGTCGTGTTTTACGTCACATAATTGCAACATGAACTACTGTGATAAGTGTTTCGACACGTGCCATCGAGCTTTGCTTGTACGGCGCTATCTCCAGACCAACCGATGAGGCAATGCGTTTCCTCCTCTGTCCAGGGACTGCGGTTTTCACTTTCTTCAATGTGCTGTCTTCTATACTGCTGAGCACTTTCTGGCGTATTAGGTCTTGCGTCGCTTCTAAAGTTAGATGCATCACAAAAGCTAAGATGCCTCGTGAGCAAAAGCTTCTGAAGTGTATATTATGTCTCCTTTTAAGTAACATTCAGTTAGTTTTTGACACTGGAGCTCCATGTGACTTGTGTCGTTCCTGTCCAGCTCTTCAGGAGCATTGTCATGGCGAGCAGCCGAGATCTGCGCTTTCTCACGGCGACCAAAATGCTACCTCACAGCCAGACCGGTCAGCGAGCGCCAACGGCGTGTCTGATATCGATGGCAAAGGGGAGGAGCCTGCAACAGAAGCGGGCGGTGTGAGCGGGCAGCAGGTGATTGGCGGGCTCCGTCTGAGTCAACTGGCTCTCAAGTTACTGTGGAAGACTGAATTTGTTTCCTTCCTTTTTGCAGAACGAAGCTCAGCTGGAACAAACACAGTTACATGGTGAGAACGTTTGACGTATTTCAATACACCCCGTGATAGCCATAAGCTCATTGGACAGTGGCTAGAACATGTAGTTTTTGTTCAACTCCACCAGGTGGCGCTAAAAGGCCACCAGAGTCATTAGCAGTGACAAAACAAACAGAGCTGTATGACTTCAGATTGACTTGTATGACAAACAATACGCTCTATTGTTATCGCGGTACGATGATTTGTTCTACTGACAAAGAGTTTGCGTTATTTGGCTTGACTGTACCACTGCCGGCACACAACTGCAACAGTACCACCACACGACCACAAGCGAAGCCTTCACAAGGCAGACACACTCTCCATCCGGGCTGACACATCCCGACCTTGGATGGTGTAAATGATTTATTGTATGTCTGGCACACTAACTGTCAGACTGCCCCTGCTGTGTGCGGCGCCCCCCCTCCCCTTTAGGCCTGTCAGAGAAGAGCGTAGAGGAGATTGTAGCTAAGCACTCAGCGCTAGGCTGGTCGGCTGCACTGTGTCCAATAACTCACTGCTTTGGAGCAGAGCTGGAGGTCGCCCTGAACACCCAGACCGAGGAGAAGAGGCTGCTGAGGGAGCAACTGCGCCACCTGGAGGTACACACATATACACACACATGCGCGCGTGCACGCACACACACACACACACTCGTACCTGTCATTCACCTGCCATTCACACACACCTGATAAATCATCATCATCATCATCATCATCATCATCATCATCATCTCATAGTAAGTGCTTGCTCATGTGAGTAAACACGACGTCTGTTGTCATGTGACTTCAAGTCTTTGTCCAATTGACGTGCAGGTGACCAAACAGGCCGAACTCTCCAAACTGCAGGATGAATTGTCAAAGGTAAATGCTCACCTGTGCCTCAACCGGTGCTTTGACTGTTCCTGGACTGATGCAACGTTTGTCTTTCAGCTGTCGGACAAGTTAAGGAAGAAACAGGAGAGGTGAGACGTCGTCATCGATTTTTGAGCCTATTTCGGTTGCTTTTATGAAAGGAAACCTACTTAGCAATTCTTTTCACAATTGAAAACTGTTATGACGTGTCTTAACATATCTGTGACATACTTTTTTGGAAAATATGCCAAAGATGAAGAATCACAACACACTTAACATTTATTTGACCTGGACTGAAATTAGCCTGTTTCAAGACAAATTTCTTCTGCAAATTAGCCAGCACTCAACCTGTTGAACCGATGACGAGTATGGGTTTCGCTGTTGGGGGGTGGAGCTATGGAGTTTGTTTAAAAAAAAAAAAGTGAGAGAGAGTGAACCACCATAAAAGCTGCATGGATTATGGATTGTATTTCCACTGGTGGGGGGCATTGATTCTTGCCGCGCTCACGGTTTTTGTCGTATGCTGCAGTTTCCAGCGTCTTCAGGCGGAGAAGGAGGTTCTGTACAATGACAGCAGGTCAGAGCAACACGTCATTGTCACATGGGTCCACTGTGACCAGTCCAAGACACGTCCACGGTGAACTTGTGGCCAACTTGTCTACAGGACAAAGATTGAGGAGATCAACCAGAGGAAAGAGGAGGAGCTCAAGTTGATGAACACGCGAATGCAGAAGCTTCAGTCGGACTTGGCGGCGGCCAATCAGGTCCGAGGGCAATGTTTGACCGTCAACGTGGTCACGATTGTCTTCTCGGCGATGCGAAGGGTCATACGGGTTGTTTTCCCTCCGTGGCAGGTGACAACAGAGTTGAGAGAGAAGTTTCAATCCAGCGACAAAGAACACCAGCTGGCTGTGAACGCTCTCAAAGATCAGGTCAGTTGACTTGTTTTGGCAAGCCCACCTTCGATTTCTGCTGTTTCCACCATATTGGACTTTCTACTGTTTTTCTGCCCCCCCATTTTCTCCGCCTTTGCTTCTATGCTGCTCTCTGCTGGTGATGCGCCGACACTGCAGGTAGCAAGTCAGAGCGCGGTGAGTCAGGAGCAGGTGGACAACATCCTGCAGGAGAACGATGCTCTGAGAACTAACTTAGCTGCTCTAGAACAGGTAACCTACAAGAGGAAACTCGACTTTTCGAACACAATGGGGCTGGGGGGGTTATGGGTCAGATGGATTTCTTTCTTTATTTGAAATAAATACTCCAAACCCTCGCTATTTGCGATTTATAAACAGTGGAGGGGGGGGGGGCACAAAAAAAGAAAAAAGAGCATTGCGCCGAGCCCTTGAAAATGATGAGATGAAAGTACAGAGCAATACCTCGTCGGTGCTTTGCATGTTTCCATCTTCAAGTTCTGTCCTCCTGCTTCCGATTCCTAAAAGTTCTTCTTGTGCTTTCTGTCTGCGAGGCGCAAATATCCTCTCGGTTTCGCATCGCTCGATGAACCGCGGAGACGAGCGCGTTGTCAGGTCTAACCGTTGATTGCAGATTCAGACGAGCAAGATGCAGGAGTTCAATTTGCTGCGCGAGCAGCAGGAGGTGCAGGCGGCCGAACTGCAGCAGAGTCGAGCGGAGCAAGAGAAGCTTCTGGCCCAGAGGGATGACCTGGACTCACAGCTGCAGGTGATCTTGACCTTCATTCGACTTTGACACTGATGCCATCACCGCTTCATTTTATTGCTTATTTTGAAAGCAATGTTTCTCATCGAGTTACAGTCAATTACATTTGTAAATAATTCATCTCAGAGTCCAGTCTGGGACCATCAGAAAATCTTAATTGTGCTGGCAAAAGCATTTTTAATTAAAAAAAAAAAAAAAAAACACCCCAAGGGAGAATAGCAAAACTGTGTGGAAATTTCTCCATCTGACTTACAATCGACCGACGAACCTTAAACTGTTGACAGTTACTTTTGTGACCCTTTCCAGCTTTGTGCAAGTTAGTCATTTTTACTTGTTGGTCGTCTGAGAGCGATTTCACGCGAGGCATCGTACACATTGGGCAAAACGTCTTGAGAATAGAAAACTCAAAATGGCTCCGTTAGGGCCGCTTTCATCAACGCCTCCAATCTGATCACATTGATCCCGGTTGGTTGACTTCCCCACCCGATTAGCTTTTGGAGAGATCATTAGCATACCACACTGCACCCAATAAACACATGAAACACATCATTGTTTATGTGGTATTAATTTGGACAGACTCTTAGATGAAGATCAAATTTTCTGAGCAATATTTGCAGAAATCTAACTCATTTCAGGGGGCTCACATACGTTTTCTTGCAACTGAATTAAGACAGGCTGTCTCCTTCCCTGTGTCCTTGACTGTCCCGCCTTCAGGAGTCAAGTTTTGCAAACCGGAAGTTGCTGGAGCAATTAACGGAAGAAGGACAAGAAAAGGAAAAGCTGCTGAGGGAGCTGGAAGAGAGCAAGAAGGTACACACACACACACACACACACACACACACACACACACAGTGTGTGTACTCTATGATGGATGATTGCATGCAGACGGCAGAGAAAAGGAAGGCCATGTTGGACACTATGGCCATTCAGCTAAACCAGGAGACGTCCAACCACAAGGAGGCGCTGTCGGACCTCAAACTACAGCACGAGAAGGAGGTGAACTCCGCGCTCTAGTCCCATAAAAAGTTTCCTCCAGAATTTTTGCACAGTGCGCCTGGGATGTGGAAACTCTCCCCCAATACAAATTCAAGTTCGGGCTTATTTCCCCCCCCTCCTGTGTCCCCGCTCTCCTTCCTTACGGTCGGGTCCCGCAGGTCCTTGGCGTGAGGGCGCGCTATGAGAAGGAACTGCGAGGTCTTCACGAGGAGAAAAATCGCTCCGAGGAGGACATCCGGCAACAGCTCCGAGACGAGAAGGTGAACAAGAAGAAGAATGAGAAGATTTGAGGGCGATACGATGCAATGTTTTGCGCTTCAGGCTCGGAGCAAAGAGCTGGAGAGTCTTCAGGCCAAAGTGCAAGAACTTCACAGTCAGCTGCAGTCCATGGAAGAAACCAAAGGATGGTTTGAACGACGGCTCAACGAGGCCCAGGTGGGTATGGGGGGGGGGGGTGATGTTGAATCGAGAAATGAGAGCCGCAGTCATTTCATGCCGACAGAACAGTCAAATACAAACACGGTCACGCGGGAGTTCTCGTAAAGCGCAGCTCACGCCGAGACGATTGCACACACCGACACCGCACCCTACCTCATCTGGTCCCGCCTCTTAAAGGCACACGCATGGATAGAACACACACCACAATACAGATATAATTTTCTATACATTATATGTACTTTTTAAAAAAAAAAATTCAGATACAGTGCGTTTAACACTCGAGCTACCAGAGCCGTCATTCTTTTACACTGTGTTGTGTTATTACTCTCCTTAGAGAGATTGACGATGCTCGTATCTCTGTTTCATTCCGATGGTGCAATTTTATGATATTAAAAAATACAAAAAATAGTTACGAGTCATTTCTCCTTGCGCTATACTGTACACCCATAACTTGGACGTGCTCTAACTTATCTTAGACATGTTGCACTGGTTTCCATAGCAACCAGCGACTCCATTGAGAAACACTGCTGGTCACCATCATCGACCAGAAATCTAATTGCGTAGAAGAGACACGACATCTGCTTGTAAATATTGACGTCTGAGGAGGAATTGCTCACTTGACACATAGCGAGTCAGAGGGAAAAAAATTGCCCCCGCCCCAGCGAACGGGAGCCGAGTCGCCTGCAGTAAAATAGGCCGTTAGATGTCATCGTCGTGACATTGTGGGCGGCGTACTTCCGATTGACCTCCGCTTCTTTGAAGTGAAATGCAAGAAAGTCTTTTGCGACACGCGTCTCCGCACGCTCCAATCGGCGGGACCAACTGTTCCTCATTCATTTATTCGCCGTAATTTACATCAAAAGATATTGTGGGTGGGTTGAGAGCTTGTCTCTTGCGATATAAACTGCCGTTTCTTTTCACTGTGTGCGTGCATGGCTACGAGCAGGAAAACACAGACAAGTTGACGCTGGACCATCAGGAAGCGCTCAAAACTCTCCAGGACCAACACATATTTGAGCTACAGGTAACAGACAAAATGGGACGCTGTGTGTGTGAGTGCATGCGTGCGTGTGCAGTGCCTATAAAAGGCAACTCAGTACAGTTATTATATGTATAAATTATGACATGAATGATTTAATATGATATATGATTTCAATTATAAATGAAATGTTGTGTGGTGTCACGTTGACATGGTGGAGATTACCGGAAGAGTGAATTTTGCATTGTGGGCAAATAAAAGTACGTACGCTGCTGTCTAGCAAGCTTCAGTGTCTAAGCTCTCAAGCTAGCTACTTAGACTGTTTAGAAATACTGCAGTTTCGACAATAAATTAAAATGTAAAACAAAGCAAAAAAAAAAAAAAAACCCCACAATAAAGTAAAAGTCGAGGTAATCCACCCATCCAAGTCAATCTTTTGTTGTCTGACCATTTCAGGTGTTGTGTGAGTGTGTCCTTGTCACTTTAGCTAAATGCTGGGTATTTTATATAAAACCACACCCAAATTGTGAAAATACAATCCATGCCATTCTTGTTGGTGATTGTGTGCACTTTATAATTAGCTTTTTTTTTTTCTTTTAAAGTATTTAGATTATTTTATTTCTCTTTAACAAAATTCAATTATGTCGAAACTGCAATTACTTAGGGTTCTCCCCATGTCTGCGTGGGTTTTCTCCGGGTACTCCGCTTTCCTCCCACATTCCACGCCCGAAATTGTCCCTCGGTGTGATTGTGAGCTCAGATGGTTGTTGGTCTCTGTGTACCCCGCGATTGGCTGGCAACCGGTTCAGGGTGTCCCCGGCCTACAGCTGGGATGGGCTCCAGAAGGCCCGCGACCCTCATGAGCATAAGCGGGTTCGAAAATGGATGGACGCAAGTGCGAGAGAGATGCAAATCAGGAAGAAGGCAAACACTTTTTCACGGCATTGAGTGCTGCTTGTTGTCATGTGCGCTCATCTCAGGCGAAGCAGGCCGAGGCGGAAGCGGTCCACGGGCAGGTGTTAGAAGTCCAGCATCAGCGAGATGAACACTACTGCGCCATCGTCAAACTCAAGCAGGTCAGCATCAGCGGGCCGCATGCGCAATTGATCTATCTTGCAATTGATTGAATCCTTGCAGCCTTTTTTTTTTTTTTTTTTACCCCAGTGTATTCTCTATCGCTTCATTGTAGTATCGTGAAATTGTTATTAGGACAATATCGTGCTGAATCAGTGATCATCACGTCGCAAATAGACAAAAGTGTTTACCCGAGAACTCGTCTTCTGTTTCCGCAGGAGATCAAAGACACAGTGGATGGACAGCGGATTTTGGAGAAGAAAGGAAGTGCAGCGGTGAGCCTTTCTGTTAGCGTGAGCACGGGCGCGCTCGCGCGTGTGATAAGACGGATGAGAGAAAGCCAAAAAGCGTCACACAAAAAAAAAAAAACCAAACAAAAAACGTATTTGCAGATACATGCTTTTGTTTGGTCTGTGATGATACAATGCATATTCACAGCGCTTGACTTTTTCTGCATTTTGTTGTGACAGGCTTATTCCAAAATTGAATACATACATTTTTTTCCCCCTTTGAATTCTACACGTAGGCGAACACCCATTCACACTCACAATCACACCGAAGGAACGATTTCGTGTGTGGAATGAACCTACCGTGCATGTTTTGGGAATGTGGGAGAAAAATCTGACATATTCCAATTTAGGATGGGGCTGTGTGAAAAAAGTGAAACGCTGTGAATACTTTCTGGATGTTAATTATTTGCGCGTGTGGAATGTATTTTATTTCACGAGTCCATGCCATTGGTCTTTCATCATGTCGGCTGTGATTTTCAGATATTAGTCGAACCTGGAGGGACAGAGTGAATCTGTACCTTATCACGGCACTGCGTTGAAACCATATCCAATAAATACAGTTGGAATGTGTATAGATGTCAGAACATGAACATGTCAGACAGTAGGAACATGTATGTGTGAAGTTGCAGCTAAAAAAGTCAACATTTGCAGATTTGTTTTAATGTGTGTGTGTGTGCATTTGTGCGTTTATAGCTGAAGGACTTAAAGAGACAGTTGCAGCTGGAAAGGAAGCGAGCAGACAAACTGCAAGAGAGACTTCAAGAAATCCTAACCAACAGCAAGAGCAGAACAGGTACGACTCTGAGCGCCTCGCAATCGCTTCATTAAAGCCGCAAGCGGCAAAACAGCAGGGGCCCTCACGCCTCCTCTTCTACAACAAATCCTTGAAATGATGTCGGAACTTTGACGCCCACATTGTCTGATGGCTGCAGACAAAAATCTTCTGTCATTTGGGGCAATTCCCTGACTTTGTCCAAAATGGTCTCTTCAGACCCAGATGACCGACTTTCTGTTCAGGTTCTTGCGTGGGTCTTCCAGAGTTTTTGGTGCATCCCGTTATGACAGACATGTCCACCTAATTTAGTGCTGACCCGTCAAACTTTTTTTTTTTTCTGATATTAGGGCGCTCCTGAGTGAGCTTTGTGGACTTGTGTTTGGACTTTGTGGACTTTCGCCAGAGTACATGCGTTTTGAGGCTAGTGAAGACCCCAAAGAGGGAGGATACAGTTCGTGAAGTTTGTCTGCGTGTGTGTGTTGAGTTAGGAAAGAATCCAAAAGGTCAGCAGGATCATGTCAACTCGTCAGGAGATTCTGCCTCATTCTGTAACCTTCTCCTAAATATTTGATAGAGCGCTTTGATTCCCTCTGCTACACACACACACACACACACACACACACACACACACACACAAAGAGTACCATGTATAATCTATAAGGACAGTTAAATATTAAAGAGCATTTCTGGACATTGGATAAAGCTGACAATCAGAAATCTGAAGTGGGTCCAGGGCCCAACCAATATGGCGTTTTTGTTTTTTTAGGGTGATGCTGATTTCAATATTTGAAAGAACGAGATTCCAATAGCCGATTAATTAGCGGATTCATTTCAATACTTTGTGTTTTTTTGTTGTTGTTGTTGTGGTCAACCACAGCAGTAATTTGAATGTTTAACAGTACTTTATCTTACTATACTATTTGTTTGACTTTATCCCAGAGAGATAAATCTGCAAACAATTGGCCGATTTTGGCAGCTTGTAATCGGAGGGACCCCTTCCGTGGCTGCTTCAAAGGGGGCGTCTCTCTGTTGTGAAAGGAGCACGTCCTTGTACAAGAGGGGAAGCTCGGTGTGTGTGTGCCTTTAAAGGGGCGGGTCATAGTCTTAAAGGGGTGTAGTCCTCATCCTAAATGGCACTCTTTTCGAAATTTGCTTTTCCCTGGCCGACAATTTTTCTTTGTGGGCTTTGCCTTCAGACGGGCATGTTCTTCCCGGAAAAAAAAAAAAAGGAGGCGTTGAGGCGGCCTTTGTGTGCTGACTCCAGAGTACAGAAACGCCCTCAGCATTGGCAAAGTCACCTACTGGCCAATTTCCAAAACCTTTGGCCGGAAAATGCACTTATTGCTGCATCGTGGGATATTTTCCGCTCTGTCTGCCATGCTCTTAAGATGGCGCCCTGCTGCTATGCTCCTTTCAAGAAGAAGGTCATAAAGGCCTTCCTCTACCCGCAGGATTGGAGGAGCTGGTCTTGTCTGAGATCAACAGTCCCAGTCGCACTCAGCAGACGGGAGACTCGTCCTCGGTCTCGTCCTTCTCTTACCGAGACATGATGAAGGAGAGCCAGAGCGGCGGTCAGAACAAGGTGGACGGCGGCCGGCCCGACTCGCGTATGGCGGCGCCGGAGCCGCGGGTGTAACTTTCCCTCTGTCGTCGTCACCAGTCGGGAGGAGGAAGTCCTCAGTGTCAGCGTGCCGCCGAGCTGTCCGACGACGAGCTGGGCGAACTGTTCCAGAGGCTCGCCGAGGTCCAGCAGGAGAAGTGGATGCTGGAGGAGAAGGTCCGTTCCGCCGCTAACTCGTTTCATGCCACCTCTTGGTCTCCGATCGAGAGCCATTTTGACCCATTTTTCAAGGCCTACAGAAAATTGAGTTCTGGAGATAGCCCAGCATCAGAACCTGGCAAAAGAAAGCTTTAACCCTCTTTTGTCTCTGGAAAATCTTCTGCCGCCCATTTTTTTTCCCACATCCCGATCCGGTGTCGAGGTCCAAATTTGCTTGTCTGTCCGCCATCGGTGGCCTCCTCTCATTGGGCGCCAGCCCTGTCACGTGACTACTGCCGTGCGATTGACAGGTCAAACATTTGGAGGTGAGCTGCTCGTCCATGGCAGAGGACATCTGCAGGAAGAGCGCCATCATCGAGACTTACGTCATGGACAGCCGCATAGGTGACCGCAGGCCAACACACGCGCACACAATCGCGGTTCAAATGCCCACGAAAAATGCTTCATTTGAATATTCACCTTTCATTTCTCATGAATTATAACGACCCTGTTGATTCTTTAACAAAATAATTCTTATTCTATTATTTCCAAAAGATCAACGTACTCATGATAGATTGCAATGGTGTCAATTATTTCATTTTAAAACATTGTTGTTTGTCCCTAATGCTTTAATTTTATTCTTTATTTCTAGGTTTTAAAGCGGTTTATTTTTTGTTATTGACCAAAAAACAACAACAAACCAAAACCAATGATTTCACAAATGAAAAAAAATGTGTGATTTACTTACTTTTTGTTTTGCATCAGTCACTATTCATTGACCAATTATTTCATATCATAAATAAAGATTACAAATGTCTTTTTTGTACCAATATAATATTTTATTTTATTTATTAAAAGTCAACCAAGTATTGGAGAAATGGTATTTAACTGCGTTAATTTTTGTAATATTTTATTGTTTTGTTTTTTTACGTACTAAAAAGTGTGGAATTGTGATTGCATTATTTACCATAATTTAATTCACCAATTGAATATGAATGGTGTAAAATAAAAAAATTAAAAATTAAAAAAAATATTTAATTTTATTATTTGCAGTAAATCAAGTCACCATTTAATTGTTAAAAATACATTTTTTTTCCAATTTCACCTCTTTCCCATCCATCAACGAAGTGACGATGTAATTTGTAGTGAATAAAAACTGTGTTGTGGCCGCCCGTTATTTCCCGTGTCGGAGAGTAGTCGCGGCGTCGTGTCCTCACCGTGCGTCTCCTCTTCCCCGCTGCGCTCAGACGTTTCAGGCGGCGCGGCGGGCGGTCACGGAGCGGCTCAGGTTGACCGAGGAGGACTGGGGTCCGTCTTGAGGGACCTGGTCAAATCCGGGGACGAGAACCTGCGCGAGATGAACAAGAAGCTGCAGAACATGCTGGAGGAGCAGCTGACCAAGAACATGCACCTTCATAAGGTAAAATCCAACGCACTTCGTCAAGCGCCCGCGCCGACTCCCGTGCTAATGTTAGCATTCAACGCTGCGTGAACTGGCTGGAGGAACGATTCTCAAAGTGCTCCCTCTAGTGGTACGGGAAAGGATCACTAATGGAAGACTGATTGTGTTGCACCCTTTTTTTTTTAACTCTACAGTTCAGCTGTACTTAATCTTTAAACTACGCTTGCATTTAATTTTTTGAAACTGTTTTAAAACATTTAAATAGGTACCATTTTTATTTTTCTTCAATACATGTTCTCTGATTCACTAACTACATAATTTTTTGTTTTTCTATCATTTAAATGGAGTGTTAATGTAAACTGCATAATGTAGTTGTGTAATATTTTTAATATTTTTTAAATTGAGTAACGTAATGATTTACATTTTACTTTTCAAGAACAGTACAGTTCAGTTGTATTTAACTTTGAAAAACTACATTTACTCTTTTAGAATTTTTAGTCTTGAGTAAAATTTTCAATTGAATCATTATTCCGTGAGTATTTTTATTTCCTAAACTTTGAGCAGTGTTCATGATCAAATCACACATCATGGTATAATAGTTTTAATTTTTTTTTTTTTTTAACCCTGAACAGTAAATATTTTTACTTTTCATGCAGATTATGTTTAACTTTTAACTGAAGTACTGTTCCATTTTTTTTTTTTTTTTATGGTAACTTTTAAGAACTACGTTTACATTGACACCACAATATAAAACTTTTTTTTCCCCCCACAAAGGGGAAGTCAAATCAAAATTATTCTTGATAATATGTTCTATGCAGCCCGCTAGTTTAAACGCAGTGTTCTGATTCATACGGCGTTTGTGGAATATGAGTTAAGCGGCAAAATTATGATTATTATTAAGTGTAACAAACATGATCATCGTCTTCTGTTTTTATTCACGTTGAACGCAACGTCCCACCTTCAGAACTCTACAGTGGCTAACGATAATATTAAATAGACTCCTCAGGAATAAGATCTCATTTTTATGACCCCATAGGCATACTCTATTTTATTTTAATGTTGGTCATTATGATGGTACTTGGAGAGCTAAGTGTTTTTGAGGTGGTTAAAAAAAAAAAAAAAAAATCACAGTGGTTTCTAGTCCATTTTCTGGACGACACACCCACTGGCCGCATCTGCGCTCGAGAGTTTGCCGTCCACTCCACGCCCGCACTCCTCCCAATGGAGGAAAAACAGAAGACAAATGTCTGTCTATCTTTTTTTCCAGGATATGGAGGTTTTGTCCCAGGAATTAGTCCGTCTCAGTAAAGAACCAGCTCCTGATGGTAATTCGGCTGGCTCCGGTTGAGACTACTTCCCGAGTCATCTGTCCATTGCCCCAAATATCATATTCACCTCAGATGGAAGACCAGGTCAGACGAGCACCCGCGACTGATGTCTTGCGGGCCTCGAGCGTTATTTTAGCCGGTGATTCCCAACCAGTGTGTGCCGAGGCACATTCACGAGAGCTCATCAAGTCTGCAGCGAGAAAAGATCACATTTCACTTAACTCATTCAGTACCAGCCAATTCTGGACCAAGTCTGAAAAGACGTTTAAAAACGTCTCTGGGTGTGAATGAGTTAATTGATCAGAAAATGATTAATTTTTCACAAATACTCCCATCGTTGATCATCTATCTATGCTCGTGACTAGTGACAGACAAAACAAATAAATAATCTTCGATTAAGATGGCAGAAAGTATCTCATGGACATGTGTCGCCACTTTTTGGGACGTTTTTGTTGGGTGGTGTGCCGTGAGATTTTTTTTTTGAAACTCCAAATATGTGCCCTGGCTCAATAAAGGTTGGGAATCACTGATTTAGGCTGTTTGGGCTATGATTAAATGCTGGAATGTCTCCATCCATCCATCCATCCATCCAAAGCATGCAGGGAACAGAAATGTTTAGCCTATCGTTGTTTCTTAATGAATGTACCGTCATTGAATCATCCCAAAAAGTCACATGATTCGGTTCCACTGGACCCTGGCTACAACCCGACGACCTCCATTGCAAAGAATCACTTGCTTCCATTGTACAGACCCCCTCCCACTCGCCCCCCTACAGTGAAAGAAAGAATCCCCGTTTGAGGTGTCTTGTGTCTCCGGTCCTATCACTTCAGGCCTTCACGCTATGTCGGCTTGTGTCCACGCGCTGGCCGAGGAGCAGGAGCTCCGACATTACATTACAATCAATGTCTTTTGCTTTGTGGCTGCAACTCTCTGCCAGAGCATGTGTTGCACTTTCTTTACTCCTAATCAAAAGCTTATAATGAATGTGAGTGAGATATGAATATATATGAAAAAGAACAGTTTTTCTGGTTATTTTTATCCTTTCGTTATCATACGTCTTTGTTTTGAAACTGTTCGACATCACGCCTGTAAATGGAATTGTCTTAATTGTTGTCAGGCTCAGTCTATGTCCTGCTTACCGTTTCAGATCTTATTTATAAAAGAAAACGAGTGTTTGCCATCACTCTACACTACATGGTCCTTGACTATTTCCTGGACTGTCACCTCCCCAATGGCTTCGGTTTTTGTTTCTGACGTGTTCCTGGAGGGGGGGTCCAGGGATCTATCTCCGCCCTGGGCCTCGGAAAGAAAGTCATCTGAAATGAAATAGGAAAGAGATGATTTCTATCACAAAGCAAAATAAAGTGAGTGAAAAATCACGTTTGTACTTTTGCGTCATTAGTTACACTGAGCTGCAAGTAATCTTTTGGAGGGGCACGGTGTAATTCCTGGTATCCGACACTTCTGACAAGGGCTGACGAAAGGGCCGTAAAGACCATATCAAGTGAGTTTGGGGGATTTGGTTTTTGAATGCATCCTGATTTTGGTGGGCGTGGCTAGAAGCAATACTCAGGCACGCACGGTTTGGACAGGAGTCCCCCTCCCCTACGATAGACCCTTCCCCTGTGACGCTTGCTCTAATCGGTCCACCGGAGTTTTAAAAAAAATATATCTATATATTTTGTGATACCGGCTGCGATTGTAAACCAGGGGGAAACCTAGCTAGGAAATCTTTGATGTGACCGCATCAAGGATCTGCATCCATGATTTTCACGGGTTTTTCCAGATGCACAAATATAGGCGCGAGTTTCACGAGTTTTTTTCATGTTGTGTGTGCATTTAGCATGGCTGTATCATTTGTAAATATTCAATTCTGCTTGTGAAGTGTTGCGTTTGTGAATCAGGGGGTCTGCACATTTATTTTTCAGACAATTGTCACGTGCCGTTTTCAAGATATTCATACATATACACACACACCAAAAAAATCTTTTGTCTAATTTGAATCAGTTTCTTTTGCCTTTACTCATAAAACAAGAAAAATAAAATGGTTATGCTCTTTGGGGTTTTTCCTTTCTGTGATTTGCTTCATTTCTCCTGGTTTGAGACCCAATTTTTTTAAACCTTTTTATTTTTCCGAGCATTAACTTCCATCGCCTGCTTCATTTCTCCTGGTTTGAGACCCAATTTTTTTTTAAACCTTTTTATTTTTCCTCGCATTAACTTCCATCACCCACAAAAATCAAAGAAATACTTTTTTTTTTTTTTTACGTGAAAAAAGGTGCTTACCCCGCCATTTTGTCAAAACATGTATGTCAATGCAATTCTTAACATTTTGATTGTTCAACAAGTAAACCTCATAAAATGAGCTGTCAAACTGCCTGGCTCGGCAGCTCCATGCGTCTTTTGTCTAAGAGTCGCAGCGCAGCTACTTAGGGTCAAAATTTCCAACGTTTATTTATTTTGCGGGACTCCATGTCTTTGGCGATCCAAGGTTTCTTGGTCACTTTAAAAGAAAAAACCTGCTACAGGGCATCAGAAAACATGACTTTATAATATTTGTTATCATTTAAAACATTGCCTTTGTCATGATAATTTATCATTTCTGTGATGCCAGCGACAACACGGGCAAGCGAGATGTTCTCAAGCTGTGGAAAGGCAAGAAAATCTCAACCCATGGTGGCCAGCTCCCAATCAATTTGAGTGAAAAAGTTTCTTCTATACCGGGGACTGTGACTCCGCCCCCTGTACATCGCTTTCAGAGTAAAAAGTCACAAAGTTCGGCGGCGGAAGTCCGCGGGGAGGCGACATTAATTAACCATCCGCGTCTTGCTGTTCTGCCGAGAGCACGATATTGCAGAGGTGAGCGCTGCGCCTGGCCCGCCAGCATCCGATTGGCTGAGGGTTAATTGGGTGCGCTCTTAATTAAAGCCAAGCTCATGGGAAAGGCTGCACTTCCACTAAATACTCGGCATGCATCAGTGATGTCATTAACCTTTACAACTTTCAAACTGTGTGAACTTTTTTTTTTTTTTTTTTTTTTACTTGGGCTATGTGTTGATCAACATCAAACAATGTTTTTGTTTTTTTTGCGGCAGCCTGCTGTATTTATCATAATATGCAATCTCAATCATATTCAAAATGATGTCCCGGGGGCCGGGGTCATTTTGAAAATTGGATGACGATTTAAGTTCAACCATTCACAGTACAATTTTAATGAGCCATTTTGGGGGGGGCATATATTTTGCTGTTTGCCAACACCCTGTTACGATGAACAAACAGCCCCCCAAAATGCTGATCAAGTCCTTTACATTTAAATGAGAAAGTTACACATCGTATTATTTACATATAATTTAATTTTGTGTTACTCCAACTACAGGAACAAATCATTGACAATGGAAGTGTTTTTGCTCAAGAGTACAGACTAGTACAAAAAACAGCTTTCATATCAATGTGTTTTCAGGTAGTAGCGCGGTTGTGTTGGTTTCATTGAAACGTCAAAATTAGAATGATGACATTTTTGCTGAGTCATGAAGTTCAGTTTTTTCCCTCTTCCTCTAGATGGCTCCAAAATATTACGTAATTGCACCTATTTAAAGTTAGTCTCCGATAAAACAAAATGTTTTGACCCCGACAAACAACATGCATCAACAAAGGTTTATTAAAAAGAATGTATAATGCTTATTTTCTATATTATATTTGATTTGGATTATTGGCCATCAAGAGGGAGGTACAAGAGGGGAAAAAAGCCATCTTCGGGGGTGCTCAAGACCTAGTTGGTATTTTATATCATAGTTTTGGTATTCATTTTACAAAGAGGGCCATCTTGTCTCTGGACAACTCTAATTGACACAAGTGCATCTTATTTTGTCCAAATTTCCTGGCATGACCCACCGGCCAGTGCAAGGCTGACATGGAATTTTTGTTGTTATTGCAACTAATCAATCACTTTTTTTGAGGGCCTCAACCAGGCCAAAAAGTCGCCAAGTAAGCGCGCTTTTCCCCCACGACGCTGTTTGTTTTTCAGCGGTAGATGAGCGCAGCCTCTCGGTCACCCAGCAGCGCCCCCTGGAAGCTTCGAAAAGAGCCAACGACGGCAAATCCAAAAGGGGCCTTCCAAAATGGCGGCTGTGACCAGTTATAGGAAACACACGGCGATGATGTCACTGGGGTGGCGAAGGGAAGGATTGCCGCGGCGTTCCCAACGTCTGGCAGCCAACAGAGGAAGTCGGAGTCCAAAGTTTAAAAAATTCACGAGTTTTCTCTCGCAGCTCTCAGCTAAATATAGAATGTGTGTGCGCGCGCGCGCACCCCCAACATAACCGACGCCTCCTCCTCTGCCCCGAACAGGAAACTGTTATTAGGAAAGGGCACTCACGTTTCCACCGTGACAGTGAACACATCAGCGCCCGTTTCATCTTCTTGTGCTTCGAATAAACACACTTTGGCGTGGAACAGAAAAGAGGACACGAATGCATCACAACGTCGTCATCTCCACGCACGCACGCACGCACGCACGCGCACACAAACAACCATATACACGCACACACACAGCCGAGGAGCATTGATCGGACTGTAATGAGAGCCTTTACGTTTGTTTTTAGCATGAGTGGGAGAGGGAGAAGTGGCACTGCGGCACGTGAGCGCGTCTGCCCGTGTGTGTGTGTGTGTGTGTGTGTGTGTGTGTGTGTGTGTGTGTGTTGGCGGCTGTAATTGAAGAAGTGCTAGTGCGATCACATGACGGCGCCCACGCCACGCTACTTTCCTGTCCCGCAGGTTGTTCCCACCTCTCTCGCGGCAGTCGGTGCTCACCGATTGATGGTTGGTAGATGGCCCCACTACACTACTATTGACTCTGCTGCGTTCAAGTGAACCACTACACTAACAGTGAATCTATTGCAAGCGAGTGAAGCACTACGCGAGCAGTACTGTACTGATGCAAGTGAACCACGACACAATCACTGACTCAACCACAGTCGATTGTACTCCCGCGATAGTAGTCCTGTCCTCCATTATAAGTGGACCGACATCAACATCAGTGTCTGGACCACTATAGCAGTAGTAGATCAATCAAGTGAACCACTATACTAACAGTACTGACATCATGGAAGTGGACCACTACACTACTAGGGACATGATTCCAGTCAGGTGAACAACGCGAACAGTATTGGACTGTATGCAAGTGAACCACGACACCACCAGTGGCTCAACTGTAGTCATGTATGTGAACTACTGCAATAGTAGTGAGTCACTTGCAGTCAAGTGAACGAAAGTGCATATCAAACTGGTAGCCCTCTGTATTAATCGGTACCTAAGAAGTAGCTCTCGGCTTCAAACACTTACAGTACTGACAGCATGCAAGAGAACCAGTGCAGTGGTACTTTCTCGACCGCAGTTAAGTGAACTACTGCACTAGTAGTGACTGTTGCGGTCAACCACCACACTAGCAAAATTGGACTAATGCAACTTGCAGTCAAGTGAACTACTGCACTAGTGGTGACTGTTGCAGTCAACCACTACACTAGCAAAACTGGACTGATGCAACTTGCAGTCAAGTGAACCATTTCACGAGCAGTACTGAACTGCATGCAAGTGGACCACAGTACAATCAGTAATAGACTATGGGTAGACGAACCACTAAACTACCAGTGACATGTTTGCAATGAACCACTGCAGGAGCAGTGACTCTACTACTGTCAAGTGAACCACTACACTTGCAGGAGTAGACTGCTTGGCAAGTGATCACGACCAGTAACTGCAGCTAAATTTATAATGCAGTCATACAGACAGACGAAGAGTCACCAGTAGTCTCAATTAAAAAAAAAAAAAAGTCCTTTTATGCTGAAAATAAAGAATATATGTATTGTGATAGTGTCTGTCTACATGGGTTGCTCCACCGTTTGTGTTCAGATATCTGTCGTTTATCACACAGTGGCGATAGATGCTAACCGTTGACACGTACAATAGGTGGCGTGACGTGTTAGCATTAAGCAGGGGCATTTCTTAGACATGTTGTCCGGCACCCGTCATATTTTTGTTTTCGATTTAGTCGGACAGTTTAGTTTGACTCACGTAGACCTCGATTGCCTCGAATATTGTAGGCCTAAAGTGTCTTAAAAATTGTGAGCAACAAGTAACAAGAACAGCATACATTACATTTTACAGTGTAATAATAGTAATATCCTAATAAATATGTACTTGAATGACACGAGGATGCTTCAAGCGCTTGCGGTTGATTTCCCGGCGCGATTCCTCCCGGTCGTCCCGATGCATTATTTATGAGTCGGACTCGGACTCAGCTGACGATCGATGCGACCTTCATGCGCTTCGCCCTCCGCTCAGTCACGACCAATTAAGACATTTGCTCAATTACTGCTGCTCAAATGGACTTTTATGATTATTTCGACTTATCTTGTTTCGGGCCAAAAGGGGACGGATGAATCAGCGACGACAAAGACTTGTAGTGGGTCGAAACTGTTCGGTTTCGACCCAAGCTGGACCTAAATTTAGACTCGGCCTGGCCTCGACTTTGGTAGGCCTCGGCCGTCGACGGTCGAAAGTGTTCTCATCATTGTGGTGGCAGTGGTGGCCTTCCTCTCCTCTGCCTGCCGCTGTCTGTGCGTCCTCCAGGGGGGGAAAAAACTCATAAAAGGTGGCGACGTCCGCCTTAATGCAAACATGGCCTTTTATTATTTTTTATTCTTTTATGATTTACTTTTTCTCTGTTACATTTATTACAGTGCTTCGCTTCAGCGCAGGCTAGCCTGGCTCATCCTATACGATCTCGTCTCGAGCAAGCCACTTTGAATCTGTACAAATCACCTTGTTTTTCCAGGTCCGCGTGTCGTCCGTCGCCTCGGTTTGAGTCTTGCCGGTTCGTTGTGACTCAGTAGGAATCAGCCTGAGTCTTTAAGAATCAGTGTGAGTCTTGAAGAGTCGGTTTGAGTCTATACAAGTCAGTATGAGTGAGTTTGAGTCTTCAAGAATCTGTTTCAGTCTACACAAGCGACAATCTGATTTGGAGTTTTTAGAATCCAGTGTGACTCTGTAGGGGTCTGTGAGTTTTCAAGTCTGTTCCAGTCCATACAAGTCAGTGGGAGTTGATGCGAGTTGGTTTGACTCTTGATGAGTCAGTCGAGTCTCTATGCAGCTCATTTGAGTCAACACAAGTCATTGGGTATGAGGATTTACAAGTGAGTAAATGTGAGTATGTGTCAGTTTGACTCCATAGGAGTTTTTCAAGAGTCCCATGTGAGTCGATACGACTCAGTCTTGATGTTTCAGTGTGAGCCCAAAATTTGCTTTTTAGTCTATACAAGTCGAGACGATTTAGTTTTGAATGTTGACAATTCAGTGTCTTGACGAGTCAAGTTTCTTTAGGGCATCCGTCAACGAGACCATGTGGCCCCCTGGCACACTGCCCCCCTAGTGGACACGTGGCATAGTGCTGATGTGGTAACTTTTAAGCCATGAAACTTTGATGATGCGAGTGCGACGTCGGCAAAACGACAGCTGACCAGCGCGCCCTGGCATTCATTATTGAGTGTGCGTGTGCAATTTTGCTCGAAGGTTTGATCCCCGGTAACCGTCTTGCTGTTTCGAAATGCAAGGCGTTGCGGCCTTAACACGTGATCGCGCCGCGATGATGACGAGGGCAATAAATTACATGGCAACATGGCGGCCGCAGTGTGATCATAGGTGATGACCTCAATGTGTATGGAGCCAGCGCAGGTGCTTGCGTGTGACTTTGTGTGCGTGTGTGTGTGTGTGTGTGTGTGTGTTTGTGTGCAGATGTGTGAGTATGTACAACACGTGTTTATGAGTATCGGTGTGTGTGTGTGTGTGTGTGTGTGTGTGTGTGTGTGTGTGTGTGGTGTGGGGGGGCATGCCTTTGTGTGTATGCGTGTACATATGTCCATGTGTTTGTTTGTGTGAGTGTGCATGTATGTTGAGTAAAAGAGGAGGTGAGAAATGACACGAAATAGAAAGAGAGAGAGAAGCAAGAGGGTCGAGCGAGCCGGTGGAGGTGGAGCCTCCATCTGTGCGTATCTTCTTGTGTATATACGTGTGTGTGTGTGTGTGTGTGTGTGTGTGTGTGTGTGTGTGTGTGTGTGTGTGTGTGTGTGTGCAGGGAAGAGAGAAAGAGAGCGAGAGAGGATGACAGCAGATGTGCTTGTTGCCGCCGCGGCAGAGCACGACAGCCCGACAACGAAAAAGAAGACTCGTCCGCCTTTTCTTCATCACTCCGCCTCCTCTTTCCATCCGGAAACTTCTTCTTCTTCTTCTTCTTCTTCTTCTTCTTCCTCATCATCTTCATCGTCCTCCTCCTCCTCCTCCTCCTCTTCCTGGTGGAAGGGCGTCAGAAGCAGCAGAGGTAAGTAGGATGAGATGTGCTCCACATTCACTGATGCCCAGAATAGATTGGGACAGAATAGAAGAGAAGTTGAGCAGAAGCTGCAAGCGGACGACGAACGGCAACATCATAGAAGGGAAGGGAAGCGAACACAACACGTGCACGTGTTGTGACATAATCCAGTTGTATAAATTAGTGATGGACTTTGGTGTGTTTAATTTACGTTGGCGAGTGCGCACGCACACATACGTGATTCATATGAATATTTGATGAACACTGACACACACTCGCCTCGGTAGTTTCCAGTCGGCTGAAAATGAACCTTTTTGGAAGCACACCAAAAGTTCATTGAGTCATAACATTTTGCTCTCGAGTCACTTGGAGTCAATACCACTGAGTCAAGTCCGACGTTCTCGGGGGTTCATTGCGCTCCGTCCAGGAAGAACGCAGTCCACAGCAATTTTTTCTGTGTCAATCTACGCCAATCAAGGAATGCGACTCCATCCAGGGCAGTGTGAATCTTTAAGATTCCGTTTCAGTCTGTTCGAGTCAGAGTGAAGTCATTGAATGTGAGTCCGCATTTATCACTTGGAGTCCGCAGGACTCAGTTTGCGTCTGTGTGTTTCAGTACAAGACAGCTTGAGTCTGTTCGGTCAGCGTATGACTCAGTGAATCTCAATCCATACGACACAGTGTGAGTCTTCGCCAGTCAGTGTGTGTCACTGTGAGTCAAGGAGTGCGAGTCAATACACGCATTCATTGGGTTGCGTCGCTCGGTGTCCAGTGAGTCTTTGCAAGGTCGTGTCTGTGCGAGTCAGCAAGTGGACGTCCGAACAAGTCAGTGTGAGTCTGTCAAAGTCTGGTTTGAAGAGTCGGTGTGTGTCCTTAAGAGTCCCTTCCTTCAAATTGCAAATTGTAGGCAAGTGAGTCAGTAACTCAGCGAGTGCGAGTCTATTTGAGTGTGAGCGGGTCTTTATCGGTCAGTATCGATGTCTGCAAGTTAGTTAGGACAAGGGTGATTCTTTTTGAGTCAGTTTGAGTCAATACAAGTCAACCTGAGTCAATACAAGTCAGTATGAGTCAATACGAGCCGGTTTTGATGAATCATGAGCGCCTAAGAGTCTTTTTTACCCTATACGAGTCAGGGTCAGTCTGTACGAGTCAGCCTGAGCCGTGACTCGTCAACGTGACTCAGTACGAGTCCGTTTGAGTCTATTCAAGTCAGCTTTGAGTCTGTATGAGTCCGCTCGGTGACTCTGTGTGAGTTTTTGAGGCTTTATTTCCTCAGTTGCGTCTATGTGAGGTTGGAGAAGTCTTCCACATGCTTCTCTCTCGCTCTTCAGGCTTCAATCTTTAAACATGCTTGTGTTTTATGCATGCTTTTGTCTTCGTGATGGCATGGACATGTTTCTGCATTGCACCTGCTTCGGGCTTCATTCTTCAGTCTCCTAACATGCTTCAGTCCACATGTTTTGCTCTTCTGTAGATTTTTGTCTTTATGTTTCCGTTTTGTTTTTTTTTCATGTGTATGTCTTCATGCTCCTGAGTACATGCTTGTCAACATGCGTCTGCTTCTGTCGACATGTTTCCGTCGACAGGCTTGTGTCTTCATGCTTCGGTTTTACACATGCTTACGTTGTATACATGCCATTTTTTTTTTCTTGCTCCCATGTACGTGTTTCTGTCTTGTACATTTCTGTCTACGGGTTTCGGTCTTCAACATTCTTCGATCTTCTACGTATGTCTGGTTTCATGAGTAGTTACATGCTTCGGATATGTTTCGGTCTTTGACATGCTTCAGCCTTGGTGGTACTGTTGGCCTCAGGTTAGAGTTTCAAGCCTCTCTCCTCAACACACACACACACACACACACACACACACACACACACACACACACACACACACACGGTGCACAAGTCAAAAGTGTGTTCATGAATTATGAATCAAACTTTCAGCCTGACTGGACTGTTCTGACTAGCTGCTCTCAACGTGCATGCACACACACACACACACACACACACACACACACACACACACACACACACACACACACACACTCTCTCTCTCTCTCTCTCTCTCTCTCTCTCTCTCTCTCTCTCTCTCTCACACACACATCCCACACACACACACACACACACACACGCACACACACTCAGCCACACACACAGAGTCAGTAATCAGATTACTGTAGATTTTTTGAGAGCCTTCCTCCTGAGGCCTCCATCCTTTTCTCCCATGTCTCTGCTCCTTCTCACTTTGTCCCTATTTTTTTCCCCTCCATCTGACAGAACGACCAAACATGGACGCCGACCCGCCGCCGCTCAGCCAATGAGAGCAGGGAGGAGCAACAGGAAGTTAGGACCAGCGAGGACGAGGGCGGCGGCGACGTGGAGCTGCAGATGAAGCCGAGAAACACTTAGAGGAGGAGGAGGAGATTGTGTCGAGCTTGCAACTTCACCAGCATCATCACAATTTAATAAGACTGCGGCGTCGCAACACGCCCACGCAAACACACACTTTTATTTGGATCCGAACGGCAGCTCAATTGCTGTTCTTCGTCACCCCGCGTGTCATCTACACTTCCTGCAATCATGCCCCTCCCCCTCATCAATATGATAAGCCCCCTCCTTACCAGGAAGTCAGGGCAGGGTCAGTGACGTGCCCCACAGCCCCAAGTCCGATTGGGTTTGATGCAAGATGGCGGCCGGCGTGGCAACATGGCTGCCATTCGCGCGGGCGGCGGCCGTGGGCTGGCTGCCGCTGGCCAAGAAGACCATGCCCAAACCTCCTGTGGACAACTCATCCAGATCAGACGAAATCCTCTATGTCAATGTCAGCGGGGTCCGCTTTCAGGTAAGGGGCTCCAAAGAGGTTGCAACCCTAAAAGTAATTCTCGCCAAGTCAACCAAAAAAAATCTTTACAATAATGTTCTATGTACAACCACTAGTCTAAACGAGTCTAACATATTCTGATGAATATTGCGTTTGTGGAATATGAATTGAGTAGCAAAATGCAACCGTTTTTATCGATCTCAGGGGGGGCGGCCATTTTGCCTTTGTGCGGTTGACTGAAACCATCACAGTTGCTCAGGGCTCAGGTAACGACCGATCATGGGTCACCTGTGTTTGGTCACGTGACGCTCACAAGATGAGCTCTGAGCAACTGCACCAAGTGGGTAGCCAACTAGCTAGCTAGCTAGCTAGCTAGCTAACTAGCTCGATAGATAGATAGATAGATAGATAGATAGATAGATAGATAGATAGATAGATAGATAGATGGCTGGTGAGCTAGCTAGCTAACTCTAATCTTAACACTCAACCACGTCCACAACATCTTACTCTAAACCTGCCCCCTGCAACCTGAAAGCCAAACCACATCCTCACCACTCACTCGTGACGTGAACATACTTGATTGTTCGTTTGTTTGTTTGTTTGCTTAGACATGGAAGAATACACTGGACCGCTATCCCGATACGCTGCTAGGCTCTTCGGAAAAAGAGTTCTTCTACAACGACGATACTCAGGAGTACTTCTTCGACAGGGACCCCGAAATGTTCCGCCACATCCTCAATTTCTACCGCACGGGGAAGCTACATTACCCACGACACGAATGCATCCAAGCCTTCGACGAGGAGTTGGCCTTCTACGGAATCGTGCCCGAAATCATCGGTGACTGTTGCATGGAGGTAAGCAAAACCCCTCATTTCCTCCTTGGAAGTTTAAGGTCTGAGAACCACTGGCCTTAAGCGGTGCCGTCTTGTGGCATCTTGATGCCGAGGAACTGTGTTGAAGTGAGTTGAGGCAATTTACTTCAATAACATTTGTGCTTTGACACCATCTTGTGGCATCTCGATGCCAAGGAATTATGTTGAAGTGAGGCGGGGAGCTTCATTATAAACAAAAGTAATGATTTACCACCACTTTGCGTCATCTCATTTTTACCCTTTGGCTTTTGACTCAGCACGAGACTTGATTTTCAGTTTGACTGTTTTTGAGCTTTCTCCTGTCTTTGTTATTGATTTAATGTTTTTTTGTTTGTTGTTGTATGAATTCTTTTTGCTCCATGTATACAGCAGTGGTTGTTTTAAAGTGCTCTATAAAGTAGAGCTGAGCTGAGTTGAGAATCTTGGTTCCAACGAACTATGGTGAAATGAAGCGCGTCATTCAGACAAAAAGAGTACTTTGCCACCATCTTCTGGCATCTTGAGGCAAGAAACTCTGTTGAAGTGAGTTGAAGGGCTACCCGTGGACAAAAATAGTGTTTTGACACCATTACATGGCTTCTGGGTGTCAAGGTACTATGTATATGTTGAAGTGAGTTGTGGCGCTTCATTTAGACAAACAGATTGGTTTGCTGCCATCTTGTGGCATCTTGCTTTCCCTTAATTCTAAACCTGTTTAGAAATGGCCTGAGTTACTTTCTTGCCATTTGTGGCCCAGCTCGTCCCTGTCCACACTGTGGCGCGTACAGTTGTGCTCCTAAGCTTACTGTATATACCCCCCTCTCTGCTTCCAAGGAATATCGTGACCGGAAAAAGGAGAACCAGGAGCGTCTGGCCGAGGACACGGAAGCCAACGAAGCGATGGACGCGCCCCTGCCCCCGCACAGCACCCCCAGAGAGCGTCTGTGGCGAGCCTTCGAAAACCCGCACACGTCCACCATGGCGCTGGTCTTCTACTACGTGACGGGCTTCTTCATCGCCGTGTCGGTCATCGCCAACGTGGTGGAGACGGTCCCCTGCCGGCCCCCTAAGGGCAGTGTCAAGGACCTCCCGTGCGGCGAGAAGTACCAGCTGGCCTTCTTCTGCATGGATACGGCGTGCGTGCTCATCTTCACCTTTGAATACCTGATGCGTCTGTTCGCCGCTCCCAGTCGCTGCAAGTTCATGCGCTCAGTCATGTCGGTCATTGACGTGGTGGCCATCATGCCCTACTACATCGGCCTGGTCATGCCCGAGAACGAGGACGTGAGCGGGGCCTTTGTCACGCTGAGGGTCTTCCGCGTCTTCCGGATCTTCAAGTTCTCACGTCACTCCCAAGGTCTGAGGATTCTGGGCTACACGCTCAAGAGCTGCGCCTCAGAGCTGGGCTTCCTGCTTTTTTCCCTCACCATGGCCATCATCATCTTCGCCACCGTCATGTTCTACGCGGAGAAGGGGACCAAGGGCTCCACCTTCACCTCCATCCCGGCCTCTTTCTGGTACACCATCGTCACCATGACGACACTGGGGTGAGTCGCCCCTCCGTGCCCCCCGCCCCTCCATTACTCGTTTGCTTGCGTGTCGCCATAGCGACCGCGCACGCGTTTGCCTCGCGTTTGTGTGTCCCGCTGAGTGCGCCGCCCACGCCGCGCTGCTCAAGCGTGGCGACCAATCCGCATCCCGCCGCCGCCCACACGTATACGGTATGGTCACGGTGTCTTAACCAATGTGTGTCGTCGCAGATGGACAAACGCACACTTTCAGCCTTCCAGTAGTAGTGAGTCACAGCAGGCAGTTTTGAGCTGCAGAGAGTCACAGTGTGTTGTCCTTTGTTGTCGCGTGATGGAACATGTTGGGGAATGTTGTCGCAAGTCACAGCCTGTGGTTGTCTTTGATTGCTGCGAGTCACAGCACATTGTCATCTGGAATAGGGAGTCAAAGTGTTGATGTGAGATAAGGGGCTTCGTGAGTAGTGCCTTGCATCCATCGCGTGGCATCTCTATATTGATGGGAGTTGAATGAAACAGCATGTGCGCTGGCGGCCCGATTTTCTTCTGCAGGCACCCGAGCGCTCGGTGTCAAAACAGACGCATCATCTCAATTTTGGTACCCGGGCAAGTCGAGTCGAGCATGTTTGGGATCATGATACGCCTCACCGGGCATTGCAGCACACGGCCATGCCCCCAATGCGGCTGATAATTTGGTAACACTCGCATCTCCTTTTTCGTGCTGGGGCAAGTGTAACTTCGTGAGTTGGTATGCCTATCGGCATATTTTGCAATTTGGCGACAAAAACGAGGCGACATTTTAGACTACCTAATTAGGAGGTCTGCTGGGTTGACGCAGGTGGTGGGGTGTGATTGTGATGCATTTGATCAAGGTGCAGGCAGGCAGTGTGTGGTGGATGTCATCTATTTCATGACGACAATGTGGGACAATGACAATTTCTGTGAAATCAATTCAGGAAACGAATTTTAATCATGACCATCTTAATAGTACTGCCTTGACTGCGTGGTGGTGGTGGTGAGGAGGGGGAGGACTACATGGTCTCACGGGTCCAATTTAGGAGGTTTCCAATTGTCCGCGTCACATGCGCAGTCGGCTGCCTCATCCGCAAAGGGGAGATCTTGCACTACCTGCCAATGTCAGGCACTCAATGCAATTATTTCCGTTTTACACAATATCAAACATACCCTGGCGTCCAAGTGTTTTGATTTGAATGCAAATGAGAGCTGTTACTACAAAGAGGCTACATTCCATCCCACAACGGCGCAAACACCCCCTTTATGCCCAATTCTACCTGCGCAAAGTCGAGCAAAATACCAAAAGAAGAAACTGTGGCACACAATTGGACTGTGCTTTGCGGCTCAACTTGCGCTCGGAATAAAAAGAGGGCCCTGGATGTCTGACAGTGGAAAGATTACGGGTTCAGCTTCCCGGATGCAGCTCAGAGTAGCTGTTGTACTTTGTCTTTAAGAGACAGAATCACAGAAGCTTCTTCTTCTCCGAGTCTTGTTTTTTTTTCGCTGCTCTTTGTTTGCTGACTTTGTTATCACAGGCACTCTGCATCGGCTCGCCTTTTTTTTTTTTTTCTCATCATCTCGTCTGCTGCAAGTGCAAGTGCAGTAAAGGCGACGACGACCGTGACGGAGAACTTATAGTTGGCGGCTTCAGTGGCAACAAGAAAACTTTATCATGTCCCGTATCCAATCACTCGGTTGATTTATTGATGAGTAAACAAACCACAGACAGCCGGAGAGGCAGGCGGACTATTATATTCATCGAAGACACCAATCATGTGAATGCTTTCTCACGATAATTATGACGCAAATAAGTATCAATATGCAACAGTTCACTTATTTTTGAACAGGCCTGCAGGCACCACATTGGTGACCCCTGAATTAGAGATCCCAAGCCAGTGAGCCAGATGGATGATTGGATGGACGGGCGGAGAAATAGATCGATAGATAGACAGATAGATGTGACATTTTATTCAAAGTGTGCTCTATAAATAACCGGAGGAGCTGAATATAGATGCAGCCTTTTATATCCGCTTTCACTTTGTATTCATCTTTTTTTTTTTTTAATCTTGCACTGTCGTGTTCAGCCTCTCCGTGAGCCGTCACCTGACCATATTGGAGGGCTTTGTGTGTCCCAATGATCCGAGGATTTCCAAGTTGCCTGGGGCTTTTATGCCCCTGGCGAACGCGTCCTACGTGACGGACCAGACAACGCGTGGCTCACAGACCATTTACGATGAGATAGAATATTGGACCACATTTTCCCTTGCCCGTAGGCGGGGTCACCGGGACCCCCCAATGATCCGAGGATTTCCAAGTTGCCTGGGGCTTTTATGCCCCTGGCGAACGCGTCCTACGTGACGGACCAGACAAAGCACGGCTCACAGACCATTTACGATGAGTTAGAATATTGGATCATGTTTTCCCCTAGCCCGTAAGGGGGGTCACCGGGACCTGCCTACGGAGCCAGGCCTGGAAGGGGGGTAGCAAAGCCCCACTTCCATATACATGGAAGAACTACTCTAAGTGTCACCGTAGCTAATGAGTGTTGTGACGCCACTTGAGTGAAGCGTAAGCGCGAACATGTACGCACGCGCTCGTCTTTGGTTTCAACCAATCAGCGCCGACGCAACCGACGTCACAGGTCAAAGAAGCTTTGAACTACGACAACAGCTAAGCTAGCTAGACGACACGACGCCCGAGGTCGGACGGACACGTTCTTTCTAGCACTCTGTGTGTTTCTGTTTTGTTTGTCTAAATATATATTTTTTTTACGACAATAACTGTCTTGTCCACGTCCACTGGGGTTTAGCAAGTGTGTTTCTAAAGAGACGAAAATTTCTTTCTGAGTGGTGCTGCTGACCTGCGTGTGTGGCAGTTAGCGTTGCTGTTACTAACGAGTGCTGCTGCATACACGTGGAAAGTATTAAATGCTATTGTGTGGACTAGTAGTGAGTGTTAGAGTTGCAAGCAGTGGCGGTGCCTTTGGGACCCCGGGCCTTCAGCGCTGACTTACATTTCCACCGTTTAATAGCAACATTCATTCTACCCAGTGGCCCGTTATGTAGATTACAACACCAATCAAAGGAGTACACATTGCCAAACTATTTAGTTCAACCAATCACAGGACGGAAAATGCCGCCAAAGTCACTCCAAGCCTGTACGAAGGCCAATAGTGACGAATCTGAACTCGAATTGATTAGGAGTCTGAAAGTCCTTGGCACACTATATTGCATGTCAACACAGGGGCCACCTTTACCTTGTCAAATGCCCAGGGGGCGACCCATCAAATATCCGACGCAGCCATTCCACAGCGAGCCTCATCATCCCCTCCTCGCGGGTTGCCTCACGAGCCCGTGT